TCCCAGAACAATAATCTAGATAGAAAAGTGGGGGGGGAAACTCAGGAGTCAAAGGCAGAAAGAACATTGCTGTTTTGTTGCCAGGCAAATGACACAGACATGTCCAAGTAACAACCGTAGTAGTCAAATTAAACTTGAAGGAGATTTTATCCTACTAAGATTAATGTCCTAAACAGCTTACAATCCTTTTTGGGAAGGGGGGGAATAGTGTCATGTTTGATGGTCCAGTCCAAGTATTCAATTCCACAGGAGAGGGACCTGATAAAAATGTCTCTGCTGTCAGAAACTCACTTTGACAGATAACTTTTTTTGCATTGCATCCAGACATTTCCTTTGACGTGTTTCTTTCTGGTGTTCTCAGTATTTAGAAAACTCTGTGGGTAGTTTGGGCAACAGCTGAGGTTCTAATACATCAATATACTACCTTCATGCACTGAACAACAAAAAGAGTGAAAACCTCCACTATTTCATAATACTCATTTTTAACCATAACTTCTCACGCCAATTGCCTAAATGGAGCAAACTGACATGTATGAAATGTATATACAAGTTGGTCTGGGATTTCAGCATTTGTAATATGCATATGTGTTTACATAGATTGCTTCATTTCTCTAAAAGAGGAAGCAGACCAGTAAGCAGACTTCTGAAAAGATGGCTTCAGGAAATAGTGATTTAGAAAGTTACTGTGACGGTTTCAAGCACTTAAGATCACTTGAATAGGGTGGCCCTATCACTTGGCAGAATGAGATGGTATCAAGCTCAAGCTGAAAGCTGACACAGTGAAATTCAATCGAGTCTAATTCTTTATTTGCTTACATCTAATGGCCAGAATCTTTCTCAGACTAAAGCTGTAAACGTCTAACAAACCTAATAGACATATCCTAAGAGATTCTAGGCTGTGGCTACCCTGAATCTCTTCCATCTTCCCTATCCTCTTTGGAACTCTTAATTTGGGTTCATTTTTTGAATCAGCTGTTTCCTCTTGGGAAACCATGCTACTGTTGCTGGAATTGCCCCTCCCTTCTCTAGGTACACATTTCATCACATCTGTTCACATCAAGGAGTTGTGATGAAGGGTGAACAAATTCTGAGCTTGTAAGTCTTTATGGTAGTATTTTTTTCTGACAGGGAGGAGAAAGATGTACAGTAGCCTTCTCCATCTTAGATTATTCTGGCTGGCCTCTTGACTGTTACGTGCTCCAGTTTAGGTAGCAATATTCAGTATATTGGTATGATCCTGCAAATGTCTTCAACACTTTACTATGGACCAGGTAAACCTATCAGATCAATTCCTGAGAGACTAACTGGGACAAGAATAACTTCTTAGATTGAAATAATAAGCATAGAGTTATAATGGAAGAAGTCAGGCCATATTAGTATATTTACTGTTCAAACAATAAAATAAAAGTTTGCCTTCAGATATTCCAAATGCTTGGTCATAAGAAACGGAATCCAAAGGCTTCTGTATAGTATGAATCAGGGCCCTATTTTTTTTTATACTGTGCAATTTTATTTTGATAATGTTAGAAAGGGGAAGGAAGCATCTTCTCAAAACCTTATTCAGTTGTTTCTCTGGTTTTTGCAGTTCCAGAAGACATTTCAAAAAACACTTTTCCAGTCATAATATATGCTAGAAAATTGTCTTTACAATTAAAAAAAATACTGTGGTCTCCATATAATTTTATGATAACATGAACCCAAGTCATAGGTTGGAGGGAATTTACCAAGATTGGCTTTTTGAAAATGCTACTTTATAGTGTTTGAGGAGAATAGAATAGAATAGAATAGAATAGAATAGAATAGAATAGAATAGAATAGAATAGAATAGAATAGAATAGAAGAATTGGAAGGGACCTTGGAAGTCTTCTAGTCCAACCTCCTGCTCAGGCAGGAAACCCAATACCATTTCAGACAAATAGTTGTCCAATCTCTTCTTAAAAACTTCCAGTGGTGGGGCTTTCACAACTTCTGGAGGCAGGTTGTTCCACTGGCTAATTGTTCTAACTGTCTAACTATCCTTGCGTTGCACTTCAGAAATTCATTTTATGAATAACCATTAAAAAAACCCACATGTTGCCCATTGTATTGTATAATTTGCATATTTGCCTGTTTCCATAAGTTCATTAATTTACAACTTAGTATCAGTAACTTTCTCTGATATTTGTCTCTAGAAGTTGGTGGCTCTGGTACTCCACCAAACTTTGCTTAGCATCCGCAAACCCAAGTCTGGCTGAGTAGACATCTTCACGCTCCAACTACTTCATTAAATGATGAAAACAGCATCGTTCCACTGCACCATAA